CAGTTTTTTAGAGAATTAATACTACAAATAAGTGATTGAAAGTTTTGTCGCCTAATAAATTCCCATTCATGTTCTTGGATCATAGAATCAAACGATAAATTATTATCGTGTATTTAAAGAAAATGAATTAACATTTCAAGCTATAAATGAATTATAAACTATAATAAAATTTTGATTAATAAAATTATGCCCTGAATAAAAAATTTAGTGAGATTACAAAAAGAATACACCTTTATTATTTTAATGAATTGTATTGTACTTAGAAGCAATCAATTAGGTAGTTAAAAATATAAAGGAGTGATTGAAAGATTGTTACTAGAAGAATGTAGCTGTATTATTATTATTATTTATTTATTTCCAATGGCTGAGGCTATAGAAGCCCATTGCACCGCAAAAGGAGATCGAAACAAAAATAGAAAAATAACATGAAAAATAATTATTTGAATATTATTATTACTACGGAAATTTAGAAGAAAAAACAACATTATGTTTAAAAACAGATAATTAAATCAAAACTAAAATAAATATATTTTAATATTAAATGGGCCAAACAAAAATCTGATAGTGTTATATTTGAGCTGCCCTCTAATTTAATAAACATGAGAGATTCTTGGTACAGAAATACAACATATTTATAATGCGAAAAAAACTTTTTTAAAAAGTTGGTCCCATATTCAACTAACTTGAAAAATATTTAGGCTTTCCGGAATTATATTTCTTTCCAAAATTTAGTCTGGGTTGCTAAACTTTCATTTTTTGTCAAAAATTTCAATTGTAGTTTTTTTAAAAAAATATGAGATCAAATTTTTAAAAAAATTTTGATTAAATATATTTTTAAAATTTGTAAAGGCATCAGTTCAGAAATATGAATGTTAGAATATAAAGTCACGGTAAGAAAAGTTCATGATTTGAAATATTACATTATATCCGAAATCTTTATAAAAACCTTAATTTCCATTAGATCATGCGTATATTTTCAATTTTCAATAATTATTATGTAAATGCGTAAGATAAGTTTTTATGCAGTTTCAGAGAGATCTCAATATTTTTCAATTTGTCTATATTTTTTGGTTAACATGTGACTACAGTAACAACTTTTGTCAACTTAAAACTTCTTATTTAAATAAAGGTTTTTCTTTGCTATATTAATTTTTGACGTTATTGAAAATTCTAAATTTATATTAGATTTTTTTAAATAATGTATTGAAAATCCCAGAATATCTATAGAAAAAACTGTTAAAATATTATAATTTTAAACCCAGACTTTTATGCATGTTTTTTTAATTCATAATATGTTTTTTTTGTTTTGGTTTATATAAAGCAAACATATGCAGTACTGTCAAAAATAGAAGATGAATTAGTAATTTTCTAAAAATAGGAACTCCTTTTTTATTATTGAAAAACGGTTCAAATAAAAAAAATCTTACAATTTCGTATTTTTCAAGTTATTTAATAAAAAGTTGTTACAATTAGAACAAACACAACCAAAAAATATCAAATTCACCATTATTTTGATAATGATTTTCTTCTAATAAACAATCAATAGAAAGAAAAAAATGATTATTCTTCACTGTGTGTGTTAAAACAGATGGAGATTCTTTGAAAAAAAGTTTCGAAGAAAAAAGCATATTTTTTAAAACGTAAGAAAACATGTTTGAAAGTAATATGTTCTTTAGACTGAAATAAAATCAATTAATTGAGATAAATAAAATAAAAGCTCTTTAAGGGAATTGAATAACAATTTATGGAATTCATGGTGTTGCGTAGTTCTAGATTACCCCCAAAACACCGTATTGAAATGGCATTTTTTTAATCAAGTAATACATAAAATAATTTTTTTTCATATGTTATTCTGATTTTATAAACATGTTTGGTAAACATTATTTTCGAAAGCAAAAGTTGTACTATTTGATAATAGTTATTTATCAATGAGAAATGTAATAGAACTAATGATAAAAGATATCAAGAAGACTTTTAATTAAATTAAAGTTCAAATAAATACATCACTTAATAAAGTATGAAAATATGATAAAAATAGGAAAAGTAATAGTCATGTGTCAAAATTTAATAATCCTTATTATTTTCAATTAAAAATTTATTAATTATGTTGTATAGATGCTTTCACTTTTTTATATGGTAATATTAACGAACTCCACTAATTTAACTTTTATATTTTGTATAAAGTAGACTGTAAAAAAATTGCTGTAGAGTTGCCACAATTTTTGGTGTTGACGCAAATAAAAAATTTTCGCAGTACATGTATAACAGTTTTTATTATTTTTTCTCTGTTATAGTTTTATAGTCTGTTCATGCGCACTAGAATCACCTAAATGGTTTCGTTGCAAAAATATTTCGTTGAAATAAAGCGCATTTAAGTAATATATTCGGACTAATTATTTCAAACAATTGTTATTTTCTTAATTTTGCATAATTTTTTGCACGACAACCACAGTTATTACACTTTTTAATGTATTTGGATTACCTCGACTCTGAAAATAGTGGAAACAACAAACCAAAATTTTTACAGTGTATATAGTAAAAAGAATGTTCTAATACATTGATAAATTGTTAGCCTATCCGAAAAATGCCTTTACAATACCTTATAGTGTAATAGTGTAAAAAAGAATAATTGTTTCAGAAAACGATTCTGTAAGAGACAGATTCTTGGAATCGTTTTTTTTTAAACTTATAAAATAAAATAGGGTACTTTCAAACACTTTTGGATATTAAACAATATGGTTATTCTTAAGTTGTCAAACCCTGGGCAATGTAATATTTATATATATATATNTCCATATTTAAAGCGGAATATTACTATAAGACTTAAAATATCATTATAAATTTCAATAAAATTGATACTCATTTTGGAATTTATTAGTCGAAAGATCACTACAAAAAGATTTCTATAATTTTTTTTATATATTCATAAAACGACCATTGTATAAAAAGTAATTGAACCTTTTTATTTTTACGTGACAACGTATTATATAATTAAATTTTTCTTTTGTGATTTTGTTAAATAGTGATTAACGTACGCTTAAAAAAGAAATCTTTCATAAAAGTATTGAATATTTGCAATTAACAGTTGTCATTTAATTTATTCTCTTTGATTTAATTTACTTTTAAGAGTTTATAATTTAAGTTTAACCATCGCAGCATTATTGCAGCAGAAAAAGACAGGAAAGTAAAATAGTTGTGCTTAAAAATATTATTTTTTAGAAGAGGGAACAGTTCATTTTCTAAAAGAAAGTATAATGCTGAAGTGAGCAGATTTTGATATTTTACAATTTATATTCATTTATTTTATACATACAATTTATTTTTTACAACAATAACATAACAAAAATAAACGGTTTAGCAAAATTATGACCTTTATTTGAACACATAGAAATATGTATGATATTCAAAATTTTCTGTAACAATGATATCACTTTCCTCATCACTGAACAAAAAGTGTTTAATATCCAACATAAGTTACAATATTGTTTTAGTAAAAGCTTTCTTAAATCAACAAAACATTGATATTGATAGCCATATTTACAATTTATAAATTCAGTTCTGTTTAATAAAATCTAAAATAATTTTTCTTTGAAAAAATATACGAAAATAGCAAGTACAGAAAAATATATTTACACTTTTGTCAAAGCAAAAGCATAACATTTATTTTATTGAAAATTAATTATCACATTATACAATTAAAAATAAATTAATTGTGCTTCAAATGAATAACATAGCTTAGGATGATGAGTGATAAGATTTAAAAAAGCTTAAATTAAAGTGTTAATAAAATATTCAAGATAAAATAATAATTTTTATAATGCAACGTTTTCTCTACAATAATTTATGTCATATTAACGTGTGTTAACTTTATAGCGAACTATAGACAACTTGGCGTCAGTAGATGGTTTCTTTATATTCATTATTACAGAAATATAATGCAAAGTTTTCAGTATCAAGTTATGTATGAAAGAAACTTCAAACAGCATGAATCACAATTTTTATAACCAAAAAACAAAAACTGAATATTATAATTCAAAAATGAGATATTAAAATACTATTCTAGATTTTAAAAAACCAAAATTTTTTACTAGATATTTTGGCAAGATAAAATTGTGCAAATTAAAGTTGAATTCTTCAATGTTTAAACTGATTGATAAACGAAAATATCAGTTCAAAATATTTTTAGTAACACCAGAATATATTAAATAAATTAATGCTAATATGATAAATTGGTTAGCATGTTTAATATTATTACATAATTAAGGATGATTAATAGGAGTTTAAATTGCTTAAATTGGAGTGTTAATAAAATATTTACGAAAACATAATAGTTTATGTAATGAAAGTTTTCTCGTTCAATAACTTATGTATTATTAACGTGTGTTAGCGTTTACGTGTGTTAACAAAACATAGAGGCTTATGTACTAGTAAATAGTTCCTTTATATCCATTAATACACAGTGTAATGTATAGTTTCGGTATCAAGTTATGTATTAAAGATACTTTTAACAGCGTGAATCAAAATTTTAATAACCAAAAAACAACTAATGAACATTATAATTAAATGAGAAATTAAAATTCTATGATGGAAATATTAAAATTTATTACTAACGCTCTTGATAAATTGATCTTGAATTTTTCAATATTTAAACTGAATATTAAACGAAAACATCAGTTAAAATAATGCAAATGGTTAATATAATGCAATTTTTTTAAAAAAACGATTAATCAAGCAAAATATTTGAAAAATTATAGCTTTTAAATTTAACATGGAGAACATGACACCATAAATACGATAACGAAATAGGCGGGTAATAAAATCCACCCAGTTTGATATAATACATATTAATTAATAATATGTGTATTAATTAATAATATATATATTTGTTTATTAATTTATATTAATGACTTAATGTATATTAATTGAATATGAATTAATATGCTTATCAAACGACAAGAATAATTAATTTAGAAAAAATGAGTTTCAGTTTATTCATTTAATAATTTTGTTGATTAAATTTGAATCAGTATTTTTTCCGTAAACATTTTATTATAAAAGAAATTGAATTTTTATAATATTCTCAATAAAAAACAATAACTGGATTTATGAATTCTAAAATTTGATATACGATACTTATGTTTGCACACTGATACAAAATAAAATAATGGAAATGAACACATATCATACTTACACAGGCACTCAAATTATGAAATATAAAAATATCCATGAATGACGAACAAATTATCCAGAACCTACACAAGACACTCTAACACCAATTGCAAATGAAAATAATATAGAAAAAATAGTATATATTAGGCTTCAGCTATATCGTTGAAATGTTTACCATCAATTCTTCTCGATAATTCAGACATAAAATCTTTGAAATGAAGGGAATGTAAATTTTTCGCCAGCAAATAAATGATAAACCAATCTCCGAATTTACATTTCCTTAGCACGATTTCGATGTGCTCATCCTTAGCCAATCCTGCTCTTGGTTTTAATGTCTTGAAGCGAGCTTCATAGGACATGTAGAGCAGAAATCTGTAAACGAGAGCTATGCAAGAGACCACAGCAAGCACCACGTACCAAAACCAGAGGAAAACGTAAATCTTTTCATTGATTATATTAATTGGGAGGATGCACATAGCATCGTGCTTCTGGACATCTCCAGATGAACCGTACCTGTGGAAGGTACATTTGGACAACCTCGGGAAAACTCTTATCATCGGATCATAGCGCACAGCCCAATCCCAGTCACTAAATTTAACAACATCTGAACCATAAGTTGAAAAAGTTCCACCGAGGAATGTGTCCATCAAATACATCTGCCCAATGACATTGATGACGTTAAGAGCTTCAGCGAGAGAGTACAAAGCAATGTAGTTTTCATTGCGGTTAAACGTCGCCACAACATAATCCACAAGCAGCTTCATGTTGCTTTCCTTTTTATCAGCACCTAAAACAGGATTATTCAAATCGAGAATCATCGCTTTAATCCTTCCAGATTCCATGCATTTCCAGAAATAGCGGGGGACATAAAAAAAGATGGCTTGTAGAAACAAAACAAAGCATACCCACTGGTAATATGCATGGTAAGTCCTTGTCTCTCCGGGGGTATATTTATCAACACCAGGATAAGGAATTTCCAGACCTACCTCCTTATCCCAAGCTGTATCTACACTAAATGTCGAATGTATCCAACAGTAAGTGTCCAGCACTCTTGTAGGAATGTCATCCTTTGATATGCATGAAATAGGATCACCAATATATTGGCGACTGGTGACCAACAAGCTGAAAGCTATCAAAATAGGCAGCGTTACTCGATAATGAAGTCTAAAAGCATGATTGTCGATTTCTATGTATTTTATTTTGATCGCCCCTTTAAGGGACGCGAAAAGCTTATCCATATTTAAGGCGGAATATTAGTCCAGCCAGTGTCGATCGCGATTAGTGCAAGGGAACTGAAGGCAGTGCGAATTCCACAAGTAGCTCTCAACGTGGAAAGAAAACAAACAACTAAAACAAACTCGCCGGACTACAGACGATGGGTCACGTGGATCACTTGTTCTTGGGGCACTGTTCTCATATTTACTTGCTTCTGAGTGATGCGGAATTTTTTGATTTCCAGATTCGGTTACCTCATCGGATGTCCTTTCCGATTTCGTTCTTTTTTCAGCTGATCGGAAAAAGAATATTTTCTTGACGCGGGAATGGGTGAAACGTCGAGTGAAGCCTGATCAAATTAACCTTGCGAGCTAGTGTGAATCAGACAGAATTAGAATATTTAATAATTATCGAAAAATCGAAGCAAAATTCTATGTTTGACTCTGTTTCGCTTCCTCGGCGACACAATTTCTCAGAAATGAGCAACACAGCTGGCATCATGTACTGTGAGCAAATAAAAGCAGACGATTCAGCGTGGAACAAACAGGTGGAATGATTTAGGTGCATTTTATTTTTTTATATTTTATTTCAGCTCTTCTTTAGAAAATTGCAACGTGTAATTTTATTTTATAGCTTTTGGGATGGAATGACGTTTTTAATTCTCATCCACAAAAATATTTTATTTTCAAAGTATTTTTGAAAACAAAAGAAATTCAGCGTTTTTAAACCGAATTAATGTGGTAGAATTATGTGATATAAAAATAATGTAACAAAAAAATTGGATATAAAAGTTTTATGAAGAAAAATTAATAATTTTTTTTAATGTTTTTTTTTGTTAACAAATATCCGTATATACAACAATTTTATGTTTGAATAAACAATAAATATTACATTTTACTACAAGCAAGGATTTCGAATTACAAAAAAACTATAGTTGAAAGTACTCATGAATAAGTAATAACTAGAATATTGAAATGATTTCTACGCTCATTATTTTGTTTTATTATTTTCGGTAAGCCTTTTTATTTCTTAAACATGCGCAAAAATATATAATCTGCATATGTAGCAAGTAAGGAAAATTTCCATTCAGCTTAATCATTTTATGAATAAATACATTTACAAGCTTGCTTTTTTTGAAAAGAGTTTCAATATTTTTTTTTATGTTTCTCTTAAATACAAGTATACAATGATACAACCTATATTTATTAATAAAATTAAAATATTAATAGCAAAAAAATTGCTTTGTTCGTTTTCCTAAAAATAAACTTCAGAATATATTAAACTAGTTTAAATTTGTTGATCGCAATTGCGAAACAAATTGTTTTCAAACTTTGTTCTTCGAATAAGCTAGAACGTAGGTAATTCATTAATTTTGTATTTCATGTTAAGTACATATTTTTTGTTATGTTTAGTTAAACTTTGAGATACTATGAAAAGATAATTTTTACAACATCCCATGTCTGGAGCTTAACGGTAGGTTTTAAACTAACAAAGCATTTCTAAGGCAGCCCGTTGTGAGCTAAGAGGATTATGGTGGTAAGGCTCCATAATTTCGCAATCAAAGGCATGATTGTCATAATGTGGGCAGCATTGCGAACAAGCCACCTTCATTTCCCAGACAAGCTAGTAACCATCGATCTGAAGGTGAGTAGGCTTCAAGCCATCTCTGAGGAACGAATCCCAGTCCTTCACTTGGATAGTGCCTTTATCCACTGACTTATTAAAGGGTTGACTTCAAAGTTGCAAATTAAATTAAGCTATAGCTACGAAATCAGACACAAAAACGTACTTTCTCTGGATAAATGTATCTCTTTTTGGCTGATCAGGGTTTTCGACCTTCAAAGTATCGGATTATCCACAATCTGGAAACATGGTTCCAGTTTAGTTTAGTCGACAGAGCAATAATTTCATTCATCACTGTTTGCAAATTTGCTATAACTTCAATAAGGTCTTAAATTGTGCAGTCTTTCCGTTCAAGTTAGAATCCTAATACTGTATTATAAAAATTAATGATGATTAATTTGTACTGTAATATGGTTTGACGGAAATATTATTAGTTACAGCTAATTTTAGCTCGTGTTATGTTTCAAATATTGTCGAACAATGGAGTCTTTTGTATTTCTTATCAATCTATAAAAAAATGCTACTTCATGAAAAACGCTCAGAAAATTCGGTTTAACATTGTACCATAATATAAACTAAACTTACTAGAACTTTAATCAGGCTTTAAATTATCCCTTGTTTTCATTCAGTTTGAAATACAGTATAGTTTAACCAAATTTACGAAGCATTAATTTGCATGATAATGGAAAGATTTCGCACAGCACTACGATTTTCCGCTAATGGTATTTGTTCTTCACAGCACAGAAGCGAAATTTCACTACAAATCACATCAACGCTAATCGGTTGAGTATAACGTTAGCGTTATGATTGTCAAACGCTATGTAAAATCTCTCTAATATAGATATTTTGACTTCGTATTAAGGTTGAAACAAATTTGAGGGATATGGTACAAGACGATACATATTTATAACATTAAGCCGAAAATAGCTTCAAAGAAGATGAATTTGTCCTGATACATTGTACAAGAATCCGTTTGTCTTCCGCGGTGAGTTCAAAATTACGAGTGTATGCAGATGAATATTTACCACTTCATATCAATTGCGTGACGTGAAAGATAAAATGAAACATAACTCACTGAGAAAGAAAAAATATAGTTAAAATTACCAGAATATGGTACATTTACCGTGTTTGTGACTCTATGGAAACACCATAACGATCGTCGATTTATACCGATTTGCTTTGGTAATGATTTTGTGAAAATTAGCAACTAAGTATGCTTTTATAATGTGTGTTAGAATTTGGCAAATCTGACAAAAATTAGTTATTTTATCATAATACTTTAGAGCATGGCGGAAAAAAAAACATTTATTCAGTTAAACTTACTTTACAGTTTTGTATTTTTTACTAAATGTGTGGTAATAAGAACTAATTTTGAAAACTGGAATCTCTGATAAACCGGTACCATATGGACGGAAAAATTACGAAACAAACGGTATATTTTCGTTTTATTAACCAGATTTTTTTTCACTTACCATAAATATAAGTTCGGAAATATTACCAGAATTATTTTCTCCGTGAGGGATTTCTCCTTTGCTAATGCAATATCTAACCAGACGAAAGAACTGGAAACAGAATATTTACATTTGTATACACTCCCTTGCAAACTTAACTGGTTTCATCTTACTTTTTTGAATCTATCGCGATAAAGAGAGCATTTAACTTCCCTTTGTGATTTGTATTATGCATTCAAAGGCTAAAGTTGTGAAAAGTGGACATATAAAACTAAGCATAATTCTCGCATTCTTAGTTGAATATTTCTTTTATTGTTCACACTTACTTAGTGCTCTTGAGTTTTTTAATTTATTTTTTTTAATCATGACTTAGAGTTGATGCAAGAAACCCAATAGCAAAACAAAGATAATTTTAATAACCTCTTACGCACGTCCAACCCTTCCAGTTGACAAAGTGACAGTTATTATGGGTACAATTTGTTGATTGTTTGTTCAATGTCATTTATTGTTTTCTTTTTCTTTTCTTTTTTTGGTTTTAGTTTTTAAAGTTCGTAAATAAACACATTGCCTGTCTGTTAAAAATGTTTTTTTTTTTTAAGTTTTTTAGCCTCTTAAAAGTTAAAAAATGCACGATTCAAAGAACATTTTAATTTCATTTCCTTTTTATATCCAAAAGGTTTTACTAAGTTTTCTCTTAAAAATCATTTGGTTAAAAACAAAATAAAAACAACAAAAAACTGGCAAAACATATTTATTCTTAAAGAATTCATCGCTTAAATTATTTTCCTAACTATTAATTATTGAATAAAAATTAATTTTAATCAAATTTGATTCGCATACTGATTAGATTTCTCAGGTATCTTGATTATTAATTATTGTTAATTTATTATTAATTTATTATTAATATATTATTTAATTATTTTTTTTATTAATTTATTATTAATATATTATTTAATTATTTTTTATTATTAATTCATTATTATTTTTAATTCATTATTATTATCAATTAATTATTATTATTATGAATTTATTATAATCATTATCATTAATTTATTATTATCATTAATTTATTATTATTATTATTAATTTACTATTATTTTTAATAATTTATTATTATTATTAGTTTTTACATTAAACGGATGTTTTCATGCAACTCAAATTGGATTATCCATGTCGCTCGACTGAAGAAATTAACAACTTGTAAAAAATAGTGTAGTTAATGGATTGTTATTAATTTTTGCTTGCTGAAAAACATCAAATTTTTTGTCAGAAAAAAAAGATTTAGTAATGAGGACATAAATTGTAAAAAATAGGATTTTAAATAAATTTAAAAAACATTTTTTATTATTTAATCACTAAATTTAACAAACTTCCAAAAAATGTGTGATTTTAAAAATATGTTCACGAAAAACGAAAACATTTAAATCTGAACGTGATTACATTATTTATGATAAATGTAAAAGTTTTTCATGCTTTTATATTTCAATTTTTGTATGAAAAATTGGTTAATGTGAATTTTAGATTATCAACAATTCTTATTAAAAAAACCAAATAAAGTGATGATTTAAAAAATTAAGTAATAAATAATTTTATATGAAGATTTCATGAATCTTTCTTGCTATAAATATAAAAAAATTTCTAAATCATTGCCATCATAAAATTTGATCCACATTACATTAGAACTTTAACGTGCGTTGCAAAAACTAATATTTTTATAATTAAGTCCTTATGCAAAAATTAATTGAAATGATGTTACAATAGAAAATTAGAAACTTGAACTAAAAACAAGGAAAAAAATTCTGATAAAATTAACGCAGTGTATGGTAAAGACAATTCCCTTAAAAAAACATAATTCTGGTAATGTAACTAAAATATACGGTATTTAAACCAACCATATCGGTAAACGTGCAAAACTGAATGGTTAATTCAACTGAATAAATGGTTTTGATGCCATGCTTAAAAGTATAATGATAAAATTACCAAATTCTATCACATTTCAACACGTATTTTAAAATAACATTTTTTTGCAATTTTAAACTCTTAATCAAAGCCATTCAGTAAAAATTACAGTACTTTTTGATGTTACCATAGAGCCAGAAACATAGTAAATATTGCTATATTCTTACACTCTTGACCTCATTGTTTTTTTCTCAGAGTTATAATTTCATTTTGTCAGAATCTACATAAAATATGCATTTCAGATTTTGGCGGCAAAAGATATTTGTAATGTTAATTTTTAAGACGTTAAAATGAAATGCATTTTATTTTATTTAGTAGAATTCAAATTAACAAGGGCTACAAATGAGAGAAGAAAAAAAAACAAATCCCAAGCACTTAAAATTCAAGTGAGAATTTACAATCCCATAAACACATATTATCCTTTATAAAAACTTTTGACTTGTCTGGTCTTACTAGTATGTCCTATATATAGAACCAACTAAATTGGAAGAAGCAC